AAATCCCAAACCAGACTATGATGGGAGGTTATTAGAGCTCCCCATCCTTAATACCCTGGACTCCAGATTGTGTTCCTGCAGTTCCACGAGGCTATAAAAAGCTCAGCTCAGTTTATCAGTCTCTCAGCTACCTATTCAGGTAGTTCAGAGGGCTGTGGTTCTCTGAGTCTCCTTCTTCTCTGAAATTGTGCTGTAATTCAAATTTTAAAACCACTCTGATTAGCTGTTCTAGTTGTTCTCAGAGAGAGGCTGACCTGCCTGTTATAGTCCAGTAGAGTGAAAGTCAACTTTTAATATTCTTGAGGATTATATTAATTTTAGATTCAGAGATGTCTGAGAAATGGGCTAATATCAAACTGGAAGATAGTAGTTTCTGGGCAGGAAAAGGCAAGAAGAGATAATGAAAGAAAAGAAAGAAAAGCAAACAAAAAGATGAAAGGTAAAAAGTCAGAGACCTCAAAAAAAAAAAGTCAAAGACTTCATGGTGTAGGTATCCTTATTTATCTCCATTTTATAATGAGGACTGGCATTTAAAGTAACTTGCTCAGAATGTATACATGTCATAGATATTGGAGTCAACTTTGAACTCAGGATTTTCTGACTCTAACTTATATTTAGCTCTCTTCTCAACATGCCTTCCTGGCTTTATACTTTTGACCTCTCACAGTGTTCTAATTCTTGAACCCTGGGAACCAATCTGAGCTCTTTTTTTAATTGAAGTATAGTTGATTTACAATGTTGTGTTAGTTTCAGGGGTACAGTGAAGTGATTCAATTATATATACATACATATATTCTTTTTCAGATTCTTTTCCATTATATGTTATTAGAAGATATTGACTATAGCTCCCCATGCTATACAGTAAGTCCTTGCTATTTATCTATTTTATATATAGTAGTGTGTATATGTTAATTCCAAACTCCTAATTTATCCCTCTCCCTGACCCCTTTCCCCTTTGGTAGCCATAGTTTGTTTTCTGTGTCTATGTCTGTGAGTATATTTCTAGTTTGTAAATAAGTTCATTTGTATTTTTTTTTAGATTCCACATGTAAGTGATATCATATGATATTTATATTTCTCTGTCTGACTTACCTCACTTAATAGGATAATCTCTAGGTTTATTCATGTTACTGCAAATGGCATTATTTCATTGTTTTTTATGGCTGAGTAATATTCCATTGTGTATATATACATCTTCTTTATCCATTCATCTGTTGAAAGACATTTAGGGCTCTTTGATCCAATGGAAAACCTTGGCTATTGAACTTGACCTTTCAATCTCTCTCTACTCCCCTTTGACTGTATAGAACTGCCTTGTCCCATCAATAGGGATCAATCCATGCTAACTAATCCTGGCTCTGATCTCTGTACTCTCCTCCAGATTGTTCTCTCCCACAATTGGAATGAACATGAGGAATTCAAAGGATTATAAGAAGGCAGATTTAGAGATCATTAAGTGAGTGGAATGGACAATATCTATCCCTTTCTCCCTCCCTTCCCCCCTTCCTTTCTTTTTCTCTCTTTCTTTCCTTAACAAATATTGGCTCAACAAATGCTGGGTTCTAATAGCATTGCTATGAACTAGATATACAAGGTGGACTAAATGGTGTCATTCCTGTTCATCTGGACCATGGAGGGCTTAGGCTTAGGCTGTGTTTCCAAGTTTATCACCCTAGGGCAGAGGTGCAGATCCATAGAAAACCAATGAAAAAGTGAAAGAGTCTAAGTTATGGATGAGGCATTCTGTTGGTACGGAAGCCAGCCTAGAGTGCTCCAGTTTCCTAGAGATGTGTCCACGCCATCAATGCAAAAGAAGAGCTTTGGCAATTGCTTCATGACTCCTCATTATCTATGAGCAATAATGTCACTTTGGGCTGAATTGACCTAGTTTCTGAGACCCCATTCCACCAGAACCTTCCAGCTCTCCACTTCCCTTGGCCACAACCCAGACTGCATAGAGACATGACAGCTGAGCAGAAGCCCTGCCAGTTGGAGGAATCTGCCCTTCAGCATCCCTGGCAGTGGAGAGCCAGAACATTTGACCCAAGAAAGAGATCGAGCCAAGTCTTTAAAAATGTATGCACTTTTTTTTTTTAAATTCTGAAAACAAGTTAGAGCCAAACTGATCAGATGACTAACTAAGGATTGCGTGTCTTCAAGTGCCTGGATGGAACCCATTGAAACAGTATCTGCCTCTGGCTTCCCATCCCCCTAAGCCTCCTCAGTGGTTGTGTCCAGTCTGACTCCGAGGGTACTGTTAAAGGCAAGTTATTTGTGGTTGTATATAATTAGTCTGGTTGAGTTTTAGGGCAAGGGCACTTCCACTTGTTTTGAAGAAGCTCTGCCCTTTGGTCATTTTTTCTTTCATTAGTTCACAATAGAGCCAAGTGTAATATAATGACATCTTAGTGTAATAAAGTGACTTTATCACATTTGATACTATCCTGATGTAAAGCCTACCGTTTTTTAAAATGAAACATGGATTTATCCCTTTAATGCAGGCAAGACCTCCATCACTAGAAAAGAAATTTCAGGGGAAGGAGAATATAAATTTGTGGGAGGGTTCTTTCCAGGATTCTGGAAATAAGTCTGTGTGGGAAGGAAGGTGGGACATGCAAAGCTTGTTAAGTAGAGTGGCTAACTTCCTCAGTCTTTGAGCTGAAATTCACTCCTTTATAACTTGTGTCCATTTGTGGTGGTGGCTCTTTCTGAAATAATGCCAACCAAGGTTCTTTCCCCATAACAACCTTTCAGTTAATTGAATACAGATCTCATGCCCCCTTATCCTTTGCCTGTGGCTTCTGTCCCTCAGGTTGAACATTTTCCATTCTTTCACCTCTTTCTGATACGGCGTTTTGGCAGGAGGAAACAGGGGTGGAAAAATTGTGTGAATAAGTACTCCGTGTACGCTTCAGTAAATGGCAAATCTCTCTCTGACCTGTAAGCCAACATTCTGACACCAGATCAGAGTACACACTTGGAGTGGCATGTCAGCAGGCAGCATTCCAAGCCTCCTGCCTGTGAGGGGAAGCAAGAGAAACTGGCCAAAATATTTTTGCCTGTATTAATTAAGAAATGTTTTTCCTTCATTGATTCTCATATGGAACTGGCAATTCTTTCTGGTCACTCTGTAGCAATATTAAAAGTTTTATATTTTAAGCTCTTAATGAGTCTTTCCTTAAGATGCATTTGGGGTTTTTTTTTAGTACTTAAAACATAGCTCTGCAAATGTGCTTTAGAGCCTCATGGCCTTTTTATTTATTTTTATTTCCTGAAATAAAAATAAACAACTACTCTTAACAAATGTCTCTATTTTCTGAAACTGTGGAACCAGGACAAAACCAGACATCAAAATGGGTTCCAAGTCAGGCACAAGTTAGTATTTTTTTAGTTGAATTTCTGGAATAAAGCTCAAAGTGTAAGCCCTGGCATTTCCCAGCCCCTATTAGCTATAATGGTAACGACACACCTCCATCTGTCTTCTCTGACTTGTTCAGCCTGAGAAAAATCAGATGAGGATGAGGAACGAATGGACCACACTTCCAACTATTAGGTGGGTTCTGGGTTATGTTTGTATTTATTTAATCATAGGACTGTACTCCTGTGTTCATTAAAATTGAAATTAATATTTCTTCTAATATTACTACTATTTGTGTCAACAACAGAAATAGATATAATTCTCCTGATTGTGTATGAAAGTGATTTTAATATTTCACTATTAATTATGATGGTGGCCCCTACTTTAAGATCGATTTTTCTAAAGCATTAGATATATATTTTAAATAACAGGACCATATGAAAAAGAACAGGTGAATTTAAAAAAAGAACCAACCAGAATTTCTGGAAATAAAAAATAAGTAGTTCACTAGCAGTTTAAAAAAATGAAGAAATGGATTAAAGAAGAGATCAGATGCAGCTGAAGAGAGAAGTGATGAAATGGAAGACAGATCATAGAAATCATTTCAAAAACACATAGGCCATTTACAAAAACTATTTTACAACAATTAAAATACCCAGTACTCAAAATTCACTTTCTCTGATAACTATATAATTAAATGAGAGATAAATGATAAAACAACAACTAAACAATCCACATACAACTGTAAAACGTGTTTTAAATGCCCAAGAAAAGAATCGAAGAAGAAATAAAATGGAAATTGTGAAATATTTCGACTCGAATGACAATGAAGGTAGCACAAATGAAACCTGTGCAAAATAGCTGGAGTAGTATTAGAGGGCAATGGAGAGCTTTGGACATAAATATTAGAAGGAAAGGAAGATGAAAAGTTACTGGCTAAATGTTCAATACAATAAATTAGGAGAAAAAGCATATTAAAACTAAAGAAAACAGAAAGTTGGAAATAACAACAATCAGAGAAGTTAATGAAATAGGGAAACCAAACAAGATCAACAGAACTGAAGGGTAATTTTCTGAATGATCAATAAAATAGACAAAGCTCTGTCAGTATGAATGAAGCACAAAAAAATGTTAAGGCACAAATGAGCACACTGAAAATGACAGAGACACGTAATTCACAAAGGGCAGAAATTTTAAAAGAACATTATGGACAGTTTTATTCCAATACTCTTATAAAATTATGTGAATTGGACAACTTCTTTTTAAATATAATTAGAAGAAATACAAATTGCAGTTGAATTTAGAGATGACTATCCTTTAAAGAACAGCTAATCCATATATTGTATGACTCTCCCAGTCACAGGAAAACACTTTTTTCCAAAAAAAAAAAAGAAAGAAAGAAATACTCTTTAAAATCCTTTCATAAGACAGATAACTTCAAAACCAAAAATGGACCAGAGAAACATAAGCAATAATCAAAATAATGATATTGATAACAATAGTAGCTTCAAGTTATTATGGGCCCTTTAAAAGTGATTTACATGTATAAATTCTCCTCATAACAAATCCATGAGATAAGAAATATGGTTGTCCTCATGTTACAGATGAGGAAACTTTGGCAGAGAAGTGGTGACTGACTTACCCAAGGTCACACAGACAGGTCATGCTATAGTCCCCAAAGTGAACCCAGACGGTCTAGTTTCAGATCCTCTCCTCTTAACCACAGACTCCAGATTTTTAAATAAAATATTAGAAAAATAAATGCAGTAATGTATTCTTAGTACAAAATCATGACGTGGGGTTGGGAAAGATGTCCAAAGCTATTCTTAGTGGCTAATTCACATTCCTGTAATATGCAATCTCCAGTCCATCTTCCAAGTCTCAAAAACATTTTATAAGCTGGCAAATAGATCTTTCTCTTCTCCAGCAACTGTTGCATCTCAGATGTGTTCTCATTCCATCGCATTCTGCTCTAGCTTTATAGACATACTGTTTGATGATCATGTCCACCTGCTTTCCATTCACCTACCCTGCTCAAAATCCTTCCATGATTTTCCATTGTTTTTAGCATAAAGAATAAATCTCTCATCATGGACTACAAGGTCTGTCCACAGCTGACCTCTCCAGCATCATCAAAGATTATGTTCACTCTCCCTTTCTTCCTATACTTTAGCCACACTGGCCTACCTGCCTGCCTAGTATTTGATCCCAGGTGTTCACTCACACTGTTCCCTTACCTAGAACTCCCCACCCTGAGCTTTGCCTAGTTTTCAAATTTCACCTTGATCATCACTTCTTGAGAGAAATCCTCCCCTGTGCTCCTTACCTCCCAAGACTAGCTTCCCTTATTTAGCCTCTCATGACACTCTCTACCTCTCTTGGGTAGTGCTTTGCATATCTGTAAATTCGTGTGTACCAGTGAGATAATTTTATTAATTTTTCTCTTCCCCACTATAATGTAAAGTGCAAGAAGGCATGGACTATGCATTTTCTTTTCTAGCATTGATTCGTTTGTTTCCAACTCAGTGTTTTTACTTTATTGGAATATTTAATAAATTATTAACAGGGAAGAAGGAAGAAATATAGATTAATTTTTTTTAATGGCTACAATTATTCTCCTGCCTGTACTCGTTCTCCTTGCAAGGTAGCCTTCTCTGGAACTGGATACCAGCACCATACTGCTGTAAACCTAGATTCTGCTCAGACATTGTCCCTCATGATTTGGTTGGCATTTTGAACACCAAAACTAGACCTGTTTGGTGTTCATTACCCTGCAATGGCCATAGTGATTGGAATTGCTCTCTGACACCCTCGGGAGTCCAGCCCTACATCCGGTCTGTCCTGTAACCCCACCTCTACCAACCACTCTAGACCACTGAGTCTCTTCCCACAGCCAGCGAAGTCCCAACACATCTCATGAAGAGGTACTCACAGGTCAGGACTGAGACGTTGCTTGCTTTAAAAGAAAAAGGCTCTGAATTGTAAAGAACTCTGCAAAGTCTCAGTGTTACCATCATGGTTATGTCATGACCATCCAGCCTCTCCTGCCAGAGATACTCTGTGTGGAGGGGCATCTTAAGAGGGAGACTGGATCTCCAGGAGCCTTCGAGGGCCAAGAAGTCAAAGTCCTGTGGATACATTGAATTTCATTAAAAAAAAAAAAAGAAAGAAAATCAAGACCCATGCAAATTAGGTAATACTCTGTTTTCTGCACTAATCTCAATATTATTTGATTTAAACTTTTCTCTTCTTACTTGGCTATGTCAATCTAGGAGGTATCAATTAAAAGATGAAGCAGCAATTTTGTCAGCTGGGTGGGTCTAAACTTTCTTCACCAAAATCAAAAAGTTGCGAGCGAATAATAATATTAGCAACAAATGCTCTACATCACACTCACCTTGGGTCAGGCAGGGTTCTAAGTGCTCCAGTGGACTCATTCGTTCTCATGGCCAGTTTAGGGGTGAATGCTGTGATGGTCCTTGTTCCACAGATGATGAAGCCAAGGCACGGAGAGGTCAGGGTGTTACCGGAAGTCACAGACCCCAGTAAGTGGGGAGGCAGGACGCAAACCCCCCAGATCTAGTCCAGGAGTCCATGCTTTTAAATCCTATGCTCTTACCCATAGATGCTCCAGTCCTTCCCTCCCCAGTGCTCCTGCCTCGTATTACAGAGATGGGACACAGCTTGGTTGCCAGGCAGACTCTCCCTGCAAGCTGGAAACTCCCATGTCTGCTGCACACATGAACCTAGATTTTTCCAGTGGCGCTGGTTCTGGCTCCCCAGAGAGAACGCAGCAAACTGGGAAGGCTAGAACTGTCTCCTGCCCACTCTTGCTAATTAAACTCCTCCAACTGACACTTTCTGGCTGGTTCCAAGAGGATATTATTTTTAGCTTGCGAGGGTTAAAGGGGATGGGAAGTGTGCCAAATTCAGGTTGTTAGAGAGAAAGAAGGAGAAAGGAGCTCAGAAAGATGCATTATGCTCATGACTCCATTTAATAAGAAGCGAGGAGCATTGGGAGCTTCTGGTCTGGACCTTTGGGCCAGGAGGAAAGCTCCTGAACTCTGTCAACCTCCAGTGACCTCCACCGCATTTCAATGGGTAGAATATTTCTCTCCTCACACGGTTGCAATGGGACAGCAACTGCAGATGTTAGAAGGATCCAGAAGTTTATTATTATTGTTGTTGTTGTTATTCCTGCTTACTGGGGTGAGAGAATTGTGAAGCCTTGCAGGCCAGGATGGAAATAGTAGCTCTCCACTCCCTGCAGCCCGTCTTCTCTCGTAGCTCTCTGACAGCCCCACCCTGGCCCATCCTCAGACGCAATAAATGATGTATGAACAATGACCCTGATTAGAAAGCTGGGAGGTTAATCTGCAGGGCTCCTTCTTATAAAGCCCAGGCCAGACCCTGCCCCATGGCTCAGCCGATTGATAAACCCTGAGCCTGCACGACCACAGACCATCTGAGAGTACAGTCTGCCTCCCAGGACTCCATCCATCTAAGTCAGTTTCACTCTTCCTCCCACTGCTTCTTTCTTCCTTCGGCTCCTCCCTCTCGGCTTCGGTTCCAGTGATTAAAGATGCAAGATCCCCAGTCATTTTCCAGTGCTTCTGTAAACTCTGGAAGCCCCAGCGGCTCAGCCCTGTTAAGCTGAGGCATGAAACCCTGCAGCCCAGTGACACAAACCATGAAAAAACCCCTAAGACTCAATTCACAGGAAAAAAGAACTTTCTTTTTCAGTCCCGCTGTTCCTGTGATTAATAGGTGTCATTGTTTGGTCTGACAGCAAAGGCTTCATTGTGGGACAAGCTAACACTTTCGCTCCCGGACAGAGCAGAGAGAGAAGGTACTCCTGATACTCAGAAGATCGTTTTTCTCAGAACTCAACGCGTTGCCATTTTTTAAGGGCACATTGATGGAATTTTCAGCGTGCGCATTAAACATATACAATAGAATGGAATCTACTGGCCTGGGAAAGCAGCTGTGTATTACAGAGGTGGCTGTGAAATACGCCAATGAAGAGGAGGTAAGAGCCAGACCTGGATTTGAATCTCTGCTCATCTTACCTAAATGGCCTTAGGCAAGTCATGTCACCTTATGAGACGTAGATCCATCTTTGTAAAGTGGAGTTAATAACAGTCACCTCAAAGGGATGTGTGGAGGATGCCATGAGATGATGCTATTAAAGCCCTCAGCACAGTGCCTGGCACAGAATGAGTGATCCCCTAATATGAGCAGCTGTTACCAGGTGATCCATGAACACAAGGGACAGGGAGAGGTCTGAGGCAAGACCATATCCACCACATCATCTTTGGCATGATGGAGGCTCTACTTTCCAAATCTCAATAAACTGGATTTCGAGTTTTTTGAGCGAGAGCCACTCCTCCTTGCTTGGCCCTGCAATAAACCTTTCTCTGCTCCAAACTCAAAAAAAAAAAAAACCCTCAATAAAGCAGGTTCTAATAATTAGTGGGTACACAACACAAAATCGTTACTATCAGTCGAAAAGAATTGTTCATTGTAGGTGCCTAGCTGTTCCTTCAATTGGCAGCCGCTTATTTAAAACGGACTCCCCCAACAGTAAATAACAAATTTATTTAGGAGACACTTGGTAAAGACTACAATAAATTGAATTGGAATAGTGGACAGTTGGTTCACATGCAGTAGGTTTTATAATAAATGAAATAATAGTTTTATTACTCTATGTCTCCCAAGAAAACGGAAAAAATGCTTGAACAATTTAAATGATGCTAAATCAGATGTTCAGTGGTTCTCAGTCTGGGGTAAATTTCCATACCCCACAACGCACGCACACGCACACGAACATTTGGCAATGTCTGGAGACATATTTGCTTGTCACAACTAGGAGAAGGGCAGTTTCCACTGGCATCTAATGGGGGAGATCAGGGATGCTTCGAAGCATCCTAAAATATACACAAGACATCCCCTCACAGCAAAGAATTATCTGACCCCAAATGTCACTAGTGCAGAGATTGAGAAACCCTGGTCTTACCAAACCTGCAGGGCTGTGGAAGGAGTCTAAAAAACATCTTATTGTGTGAGGAAATTTAGCTACAATGTAAATCACTGGCATTAGATTGAACCAAATTTCATCTAATAACTTATTGGAGAATTATTAGTAAACATTGTAGTTCTTAATTAATTTTTTTTGCATTTTAATTTTTTTTTCCAAACACGAAATGCAGTGGTCTGCTGGATTATCATTGTTTCAAAAGTTGCTTGAGTTCGTTCTTATGATTCAGTCTTTCAAGGAGGGCATGAAAGTCAGAGGCTGGACAAATACTGTTTCCATTACTCATGATGAAATTTCTTCCCACAAACCCCTTCCCTGTAGCCCCCAGAAAAGAAAAGAAAAGAAACTAATTGCTAAGATTTTACTTACCTTAACTTCAGCTTAAAGATTTTTCTTCCTCTAAATTCCCCAGGAGCGTGGTTTCTTATCCAAGGATAGGATTTCCCCCAATAACTGCCAAGGTGGAAACCAAAACATTCAAAATACAAGGTATAGGTCCCATTCATTGTTTAGTTTTCTTTACCTTTCGTGCCCACGGAATATGGCTTGGCCCATCTGAGAAAGTCATTAGTGAGTGAAGAGACTCTATATGCACTTCCTTAAAAATGGGGCATGTTTGCTGGTTCTGGAAAGAATCAGCCTGGAAGAGATCAAATTCAGCAGAGGGCAAAGCTACCAACGTAAAAGCATGCGATCCTTTGATTTCAGAGGCTCTTGGGTAGAGTTTGGCACTGTCCTTCCCTTTCTTCCCTCTGCTTCCCACGGGGCTCCCACAGCCATCACGTGGCTCCGGAGGCCCACAGAGGCCTGGATTCCACAGGGCACGGCTGGGTAGGGCAGCATCACGACCTTCATCCACAACCAAGGCGGGAGACTGGCATTTATTGAATATGAATTATGATCCAGGAACTGCGCAAGGTGTCTTAGAGACATGAGCTCCTCCGAAGGAATTTCAGAAGCCACAACTAGGTGAGCATTAAAAAAAAAAAAAGTGATTTGGGTGGATTCTTGTTTAAACTAACATAAACCCAAATTTGGACGAATGAGTATTCTTTTAAAAAGATGTCAGTGCAAACACGGAGTCACCATCTTATTTTCATATTATCCCCAGCCTGTTCTTTGTCCTTCATGGGCTGTGATTCCCTCTGAGCCAAGACCTCTTGAAGACCAGCAATTTGTCTGCACCTATTCTCATACCTAGAAAAATGCCTGACTGATGGCAGGTCCTCAGAGATGCCTGCTGAATTATTGTGTTTTAGTCCTAACACAGGTGGGTGTTTCACATGATGCCTGGCTCATAGTATAAACACCAATACATCATGTATTTAAATTTAATTT